TAGTAGTAGTCGTAGTAATACAAATTCCGTTGGTAGTGACAGGATGAGGAGGAGGAGGAGGAGGAGGAGGAGGAGGAGGAGGAGGAGGAGGGGGGAGGAGGAGGAGGAGGAGGAAAATGAATAGGAGGAAACACCCACACCAAAATTATTTCCGTCAGCCTAAGGCTTTCTCCGTCGGCCTAAGGATGGATTCGTAAAGATTCGTGAGGATTCCTGAAGGAATCCGGGGGAATCCTGAGGAATTCCTAAGGATCCCAGGAATCCTAAGAATCCGAATGAGTCCCAAGGACCCTGAGGAATCCTAGGGATCTTAAGGAATCCTCAGGAATCCGAAGAATTCCGGAGGAATCCTAAGGAATCGAAGTACTTCTGAAGAAGAAAGAAGTACTTCTGAATAAGAAAAAAGTATTTCTGAAGATCCCATGGTTGTAACTGGTCCCAGTTCTGGTTGCAATTCGCTCCGAACGGTTGGAATTGAGACGAGTCGGTTATAATTCGTCCCATTTCGGGTTCGAACCCCCTCCTCCCATCCATCCAGGAGGGGGGAGGGTCCGGTTCCAACCCCCCCGCTCTCCAAGCGACCACAGAATGCGCTCTTTCTGATTTGTTCAAGACTGGGTCACTGGAAGTCCTGACCCTTTTCCCGGGACCCAGTTTTTTGTCCTGAATCGATGTTTGACAGCCCCGAGGCCCAGCGAGGGCCCCCCTTCGCCGAAAGCAGCCAAACATAAACCTCTCGTCGTGATTGCCTCACGACGCGACCATTCGGCGGTGGACAAACATCCCTTTAATAAACCACCCTTTCGTGAAACCGGCCTCCCACCCAGACCGACGGACCTGGACCCGCAAGAATGACGGCCGCGACGCCCTCTCGCGAACCGAAAACGGCCAATTCGCTAATCGACGTGTCATTGTAGGAGGTCTATCAACCTCCGAACCATAGTTATCTGGGCCCAGATCGACCCAGGCTCTCCCACTCACGGCCGACGCCGGGATCGCTCCTCGGCGACCCCCGGCCGGCCCTACAGCCCACGAGGCCCGAAGCGGCCCACGTCGACTTTAAAAGTGGGCAGCGCTGGCGGACGCAAGCCCCGACCCGCGACGTGCTGATCTTTTATCAAGCCCAGACATGGTCGCGTGGTAACAAATCAGGACGGCAAATTGTTGGCCGTTTTCGGCCTCCGGAGGCCCTCGCCGGGCCTCGGGGCCGTCAAAATACGACCCAGGATGAAAAACGGGTCCCGGGGAAAGGGTCGGGACTTCCACGGACGCTGTATTGAAAAATGAAGACGTCGCATGTCTGGGACCCTGCGAGGCGTCTGTTTTTTGCTACGGGCGTTGTCGCTCCATTTCGGGCCCCGGGACCCCAAGACCCTTACAGATCGATCGGGCTCGAACAATGAAGCAGAAAGGTCGGGTCTAGGGCTCAGGGCGTGATTTTTGCGATGTTGCTATTTTGTGTTGCAACTTCGGATCTCAAAAAATATACGGGGTCCCTGGCGGTTCCAAACCCTTCACTTGGGCCGGCTTCTCGTCCTGAGCCGTTTTTTGGACGGTCCGATGCCCGGCGAGAGGTCCCAGGGGCCGAGCCGGTTCTTTTGTACGGAACGCGCCCGTAGGGAGAAGGAGGAGGACGAGGAGGAGGAGGAGGAGGAGGAGGAGGAGGAGGAGGAGGAGGAGGAGGAAGAGGGGGTATAAAGAAGGAAGGACGATACAAGGGAGAAGGGGGAGGATTTTTTTTTTGACATCCACAGCCACAGACCCCAACTCAAAGAGGCAAAGCCAAAATTCAACAGGCGATTGGCAGTCGCCTGAGGGCGCAAAACGGCGCAGGCCGCGCCACGGTCGGGGCCATGCCCCCGTGGCGCGACCTAAGCGCGACCAGGGAGCGCAGGGAGACCGTGCTCCGCGCTCCCTGGTCGGGGTAGGGGGCGCGAGCCGTGCTCAGCGCCAACCCTACCCACCACCCACTCCGTGGGTGGCCGCGTTTTACGGGCCCCGGGACCACGACACGACGCGACACGACAGGGGGACGAAACGAACGACGCGACACGAACGACACGAGACGGACGAGCGACACGACGGGGACGAGCCGCCAGCCCCGCCCCAGGGCGGCGAGCGCTGGGGGGGACCCAGCACCGCCCTGGGGAAGCACACGGGGCCTGGCGACCCCCCCGGGGGAAGGAAACCGCACTTTGGCGGCGTCCCCCGGGGTGCGGGGGATTTTCGCCCCTCGGGCCCGGCGCTCCCCGCCTGCGCCAGGAGGACCCTGGGGTCCCGACCCCTCCCCTACGGGAGGGGCCCCCTCGGGGCAGGAGGAGGAGGAGGAGGAGGAGGAGGAGGAGGAGGAGGAGGAGGAGGAGGAGGTGGCGGGTGCCGTGGGGCGGGAGGACTGCTCGCTCTGGCCGTGGACGATGCCGTCGGCGACGTCGTCGCCGTCGCCGCCGACGATCCTGGAGGCTCCCGTCGCATGCGGCGTCTGGCGGTGCCGGGGGGACGCCGTGGGCCCTGCGAAATCCGCCAACGGCGTCCTCACTCGGCGGCATCGCTCTGGAGGAGTCTGGGGCATCTCCAGGGGGTCCCTCGAGAATCCGCAGGACGCGGGTTCACGCCAACGTGTGCTGGAGTCCGAAAGCCCTTTGGACACGACGCAGGCTAAAACGCCTTAGGACCCATAGTGGGCCGAAACGGACTGAGTGCAGATGGGTCTGATCGGTGTAAAAGCACAGTAGGTGGGCACGCGCCCTGAGGACCATCGAGTCTTGCGAGGCGTCCAGGGGCTGGTCTTGAAGGCACCGTGGCAAGATCTCTGGCGGCTCGATCAAGACGCGGCGTATGTTGCGACGGGCGGTGATCGCCCCTGGGCCCCAAAACTGCACTTCACAATCTGCGGGAACCCCCTTTTGCCGGGGTGAGGAGGAGTAATTGGGCGTCGCCCTCCCCTTTTCCCGCTTCCCCAGGGTCGAAACACCCGTTAGGAGGGAACGGGGGGGGGTCCCAGGCATATCAACGCACCCCTGGGGCCTCTGGAGCCTCGGCATCTACACTCCGTCGCCTCCAAGATTAGAAGGAAAAACGCCATAAACAGAAACTTTTGGCGTTCCGCGCAGATTTCTTCGATCTGCGCTGGATCCCCCTCCCTGGCGCGCAGAGCGCGCCAGGGGGCGGCGCCGGAGGCGCCGCCAGGGGGGCCAGGCGCAGATCCAAGAAATCCGCGCGGAGCGCCAAAAGTTTACGTTTATAGCGTTTGTTTCTTTTCGAGAGATGCCCGAGATGCCATCTCAGCTGGCTCAAGCTGGGTTCCAACAAGCCGCGGAGAGAGGTCGGAAACATGGCCTCCGGCCTCCAGGACGCTCCGACAGGGCTTCAAGAGAGCTCCCAAGCAGAAGGCCCCAGGAGGCAACAATCCAACCAATCCCAAGAAAGAGAAACCGCTTATCTTTAGCATCATCTTTTGTCCGTCGGGATAACGTCTCAAACAGCCCAAGAGGCCCCCAGGATCGAAACACTGGAGAGGGCTCCAAGACGGCCCATGAAGCACCTAAGAGGGTCCCCAGACAGCCCCAGAGGCGCCTAGAACAGCCCAAAAGAGTTCCAGCAGGGTCAAACGATGGGCCCAAACAGGGTAACGCGAAAATTTCTAGCCTTCCGTCCCAAGAGTACCCCAAGACCGCCAGCAGGCGCCCAAGAACCCCTCAAGAAGCTCCAAAAAGGCCCCCCGGAGGGCAGGAAAAGACACCAAACAGATACCCAAGAGGCACCCAAAGGTCTCACTCGTGGATGTTTGCCCTCTCCTCAAGGTGACCGCCAGGAGGATTCAACTTGAGCGGTGGACGTCGGGGGACGAGGACGACCTCATCAAGACCCCCCAAGGGTCCTCCCAACAAACATAACGGCCTCAGAAAGCCTCACCCGTGGACATATTTTTCCTAAGAGTGTCGGCGGAACGGCGTAGGCCTCACGAGTCTCTGTCAACCGGAATCTCACACACACACACACACCTCCGGGATCATTCATGTCCAGACGGGAGCGCGCCCTCAGCTGCACTCACACTCATACCGCCACGCGCACAAACTGAGACTCATACCTGCCCTAACTCAAGCTGACTCGTTTTGAGACCTGATTCGCACATGCCCGCTCGAACGCAGACGCAGACGCACACACATACACCTACACATGTCCAGACTCACTTGTATACAGACCCGTTCCTGCCTGGACAGACTCATGCCACGACTCAGTCATGCTTAGCCAATCGCATTCAAACGCAATCAAAATTGATACCCACTCGTGCGCACACACTTAGTACCCCCAGTGCACCTGTCAGAATCAAAAACGTAAGCACTCTCAGACGGTATGGATGAAACGCGCCAGAACAAACACGCGCGCACCGACTTCTGCGCAATGCGATTGCAAGACGAGCTACGCCCCAAGGGCTGGCCGAACCGAAGACTGTTGGCACCGCTGCTCCCTGGGCCACTCCCGGAGAGGGTTCTGACCGACGCTCCGACGCGAATCTGGCCGTGGCGGTGACCCCCGCACCCAAAAGCCCCCGAGCCAGGCGAGAACGCGGATCAAATGGCATCGGCATCGACATTGATCCCCGGACCCCTGCGATCCGACACCGTAAAATCGGGAGCGGCCAAGAGGGGGGTGTCCAAGAGGGGGGGGTGCAAATCATGACCGGCGGCAGTGCGCGGCCCAGCGGGGGGGGCCAGGGACGTAATGAAACAAGAAGAGGCGCCATGAAATCTGGGGAAATATCATGGCCCCCGCCATGAGATCCACCCCCCCCTAGTCATCACCCCCCTCTTTTCCGCCCCCGAAAATACCCAGTTCAGTACGGCGTCCCCGGAAGTCGAGACCCTTTCCCCAGGGCCGGTTCTTCATCCTGAATCGTTTTCTGACGGTCACGCGGACCGGCCGGCGAGGGCCCCCGGGGGCTGAAAAAAGCGAGGGACGTGACGCCCTGATCTTTTTCTAACGGCGCGATCATGTCTGGGTACGCATTGCAAACTCGTAGACAACCACGACAGGAACCCTCCACACCCCGTCGTTTTTTTCCCGCGGCGGACAGCCCTGCGCGAGCTGCCCGGTGTGAGAAAACGTGTGGCGACAGGATCTTAGGCGGCTAACACTTAGGTCTCACATGTTCTCCTTCAGGCGGATTTTGGATGAAGATTTCAAAATACCCGAAAAACAACAAAACCAACTCAAATGACATAAGAAAGCCGACGTCACGCTATGTCTTGAATAGTTCTGGATGTTCCTCCTGTAGAGGGACGTGCCCGACTTGACCCTGGGCAGGAGGAACCTCTGGTGTCTGACTTTCGGGGGCCTCGTGGAGGCCGCACCCCAGCGCGCACGCCGCTGCGTTAGCGCACCGCGCTCAGCCATCTGGGGCCCCCTGCGTGCCCGCACCGGAGGTCACTCCAGCGAATGGCCACTCCTGCGTATCGCCGACGGGAGGGATCTCAAGAAGACGCTCCTCCGCGCTGGGGCCCCCGACCCCGAAAGCCGCCGCCCCTCACCCGCGCAGCCCACTGCCGACAACGGCCGCGCTTGCTCTCACTCGGCGGCCGCCCGTGCTGCACTCCAGCGGAAGCCCGAAGACCCTGTCAGAACATGGCGTCCACAGTTCCAGAACCCGTCGAAATATGACAGAATCACTAGCAGTCAGAACACGACCCTGTCAGAACATGGCGTCGCGCCACCAGGAAACAACGCCAGTCCGCGCCGGCGCCCGCCGCGGACGACGACAACAACGCCGACGACACCACCGACGACGACGCCGACGCCGACGCCGACGACGACGACGACGCCGACGACGACGACGCCGACAACGCCAACGTCGACGTCGACGCCGACGCCGACGTCGACGCCGACGCCGACGCCGACGCCACCGATGCCGACGCCGACGCCGACGACGACGTTGACGCCGACACTGACGCCGACGACGACGCCGACGCCGACGACTGCGACGACGCCGACGACATCGACGACGCCGACGACTACCACGATGCCGACGCCATCGACGCACCCGACGCCGATGCCGACGCCGACGCCGACCACGCCGAAACCGACGCCGACGCCGACGACTGCGACGACGCCGACGCCGACGTCTACGCCGACGCCGACGCCGACTTCGACGCCGACGCCGACGCCGACGCCGACGACGACAACGACGCCGACGCCGACGCCGACGACGCCCGATGCCGAAAACGACGCCGACGACGACGCCGACGACGACGACGACGCCGACGACGCCGACGCCGACGACGCCGACGCCGACGCCGACGCCGTCGCCGGTGCCGACGACGTCTACGTCTACGCCGACGTCGACGCCGACGACGTCGTCGCGACGCCGACGCCGAAGCCGACAATGACCACGACGACGTCTACCCCAACGACAACGCCGACGCCGGAAACGACGCCGACGCCGACGACGACGCCGATGCCGACGACGTCGACGACGACGACGCCGACGCCGCCGACCCCGACGCCGCGCCGACGCCGACGCCGACCCAGACCTCGCCGAAGCCGACGCTGTTGCCGACGCCGACAACGCCGATGACGACCATGACGACGACGACGACGACGGCGACGACGACAAGGAAGACGACGACGACGACGACGACGACGACGACGACGACGACGACGACATCAACGACGGCGACGACCACGACCATGACCTCGACGGCGGCGACGACAACGACGCAAATCACAGATTTTTGCAAGAGGGCCTTTGCTTATTCTGTAATACCGATGGTGGCGACGATGGCGACGGCGGCGGCGGCAGCGGCGGCGGCGACGACGATCACGACGCCGATCCCGACGTCGACGCCGACGCCGACGCCGACGCCGACACCGACGACGACGACGGCGACACCGACACCGACGCCGACGCCGACAACGGCGACGCCGACGAAGACGACGACGCCGACGACGCCGACGCCGACGCCAACGGCGACGCCGACGACGACGACGACGATGCCAACGACGCCGACGCCGACGCCGACGCCGACGCCGACGCCGACGCCGATGCCGACGCCGGCGCCGACGCTGACACCGACGCCGACGCCGATGCCGACGCCGACGCCGACGCCGACGCCGACGTCGACGCCGACGACGACGCCAACGACGACGCCGACGCCGACGCCGACGCCGACGCCGACGACGACGACGCCGACGACGACGACGCCGACACCGACGCCGACACATCGTCGACGCCGACACATCGTCGACGACGCCGACGCCAACGCTGACGCCGACGCCGACGCCGACGACGCCGACGCCGACGCCGACGCCGACGCCGACGCCGACGCCGATGCCGATGCCGACGCCGATGCCGACGCCGACGCCGACGACGACCACGACCACGACCACGACCATGACCACGACGACGGCGGCGGCGGCGGCGACGACGACGACTACTAACGGGGGGCATGGTAACACCAATCACATATTTTTGTAGGATTCTTCATGTTTCGGAAACATGAACGG